TATCATCAATGACACAAAATAAATGTTATTAATCAATCTTAAATTAAAATGAGTACTAATGACTAAAATCTTTTGGAGAAGATAAAAAAAATTCAAAGGAATTAATATATATATAAAAGACTAAAATAATAATTTAAAATTTATAAAGATAAAAAATAAATATTCTTTTATAAAATGCAAGTTGAAACTCGCTAATTTGATCTAAACTAAAATATATTTAAATAAAAAAAGAAGTATAATAGAAGTAAATAGTAACAAAATGTTTATAAGTTGATGAGACAAGGTCAAGATGCATGTGGTGGTTATCGAAGATATATAGAAAGAGGACACTAATAGATTCTGATGATTATGGGTTTGACTAAGATCTAAGGGCCATGGTGTTCACATTTTCATAATAACATGAGTTACTCATGCTGCTATATTCTATTCGTTTTTTTATCAGTAAAGAAAAACAAAGTCCAGAGAGAGATCCCATTGCTTTAAAAACAATAAACGCAAGCTTATATATAATTAATGGATGGCATCGTGAATTCAAGGTGAACACGTGGTTCCACATTTACACGTGAAATTGTCTCACTCTAATGCTGTGTCCTTTAATATTACACTTTTCTCTTTATATCTATTGTCGTCTTATAATTATGCTTTTCTTTCGAAACTAGATAGAAGGAAGACTTTTGCACCAAGTCCAGCATAAATTATTATTATGAACGCTAATCTAGTATAACTAAAACGCTAATCCTTATAAGAAAATAACATGATAGGAAAATTACATCATTGTCCATACCTTTATTAATGTCACGCTTGCAAATATTTGGTTTTTTAGTCATTTCGATTCTGTCATTTACTATATCACCCCTATCTATTATACTAACAGCCGTAAAAAAGTCAATTTTCTTTGTCATTTTCTATTTTTTTTCTTTTTCCATTTGTTTTATTTCACGTGCGTCTCTGCTTTTGAAAGTTTTTTGAAATTGAAAATCTCATTGCACGGTGGACGAAGATGAGAGCGAAGACGATGTTGGGCTCAACGATTAAAGAATTTCAAATTTGAACGATGGGTATGTTGTTCTATTTTTGTTTTTCAGAAAGAGTGTTTACGTTTTGATTTAAGAAATGGATAAAAGAGGTGAGAAGGATAAGGTTTCTTTCTTTATTTAATACTGAAGCAAATGGAAACAAGAGGTAACAGTTTAAGGTTTAGGGGTTTGTTTGGGTTCTGTCAAAAGCTGTATTGTTTATTTTGAAGTTAAGTTCCTCAAATATTTGTTAAATAAATTTAAAATTAAAAAAAAGGGTTAAAAGTGTAATTTTGTTTTGATTTATTGTTGCTATGTCATTTTGTTTAAGTGTTAGTTTTGGCTAGGTAAATTGGGATATTTTGGTTAGGTGGTGATAAAATTCAAATTAGGCATTTTTCAATTGATTTGTTTTTATTTTTTGAGGTAGTGTAACAGTCCGACTAATTAGTGGTTGTTTTACTTCTATTTTTATTATCGGGTCTGTACATGACTATTTTGATAGTCTTCTTTTTTAATGAATCGTAGTGTATATATATATATATATATATATATATATATATATATTCATATAGTTTATTCATTGTATGAGGCTATTGATTATTTTTAATAAAGTATCATAACTTTATGACCTGAGTATTGAGAGAGAAAAAGAAAAGAAGAGTCAGGTAAATAATGAATGCTTGAGTGTTTTGTGAGAGTGATGACAAAAGTTGTCAACAGAACGAGTGTGCTACAAATGACGAAAAAAAATAATTATAATAATTAGTGTCTACAAATGAAGCGTTGTTGAGATCTCAAGACATTTGGGATATGCTGGAAGATAGGTACAATGAACCCAATGAGGACATACATTAGACAATGGTATATATGATCGCATTGAAGAAAACACATGCAAGAGATGAGTCATAATTGTATTTTCTCTATAATGTAGTAGATGAGTTAGGATTTGAAAAAATAATGAATGTCACATCAACAAAGGAAGCCTAAGAGATATTGGAGGTTGCATATAAAGGTGACAACCGCGTCAGACAAGTCCGAAGACAAACTCTTATAGAGGAGTTTGAAGAGTTGAAGATGGGCCCAAAGAGCAAGTAATCGAGTACGTAACTCGGGTGGAGAAGGTGGTCAACCAACTCGGCAAGAATGGAGAACAAATGCCACCTAGCCACGTTGTGGGAAAAATCTTGAGATCACTCACAAAAGATTTCGAAAGTATCGTGTGCACCATTGACAAATCGAAGAACATATCAGTTCTCATAGTGGATGTATAAGATTCGGGAAAAATAAGAGTTTTAAAATTAAAATTGTTAAGACTTTGGAATTTTGTTTAGAAATTAATGTTCTTGAGTGTATATTTTGTTACAGCATAATTGTTATGTTATTTCTTTATTTTTATATTTTTTCATAGAGGCAAAAGGGTTTTTACCTTTATTTAATGAGTGTAGAAATAAGTTAAGGGGTGATTTGATGTTTAGAAACCCTAAAAACTCTAAATCAAAGAAATAAAATAGAGGAAGAGAAAAGATTGACATTTTGGGAGAAGAAGAGAGAGACGGGAAACTCTTAGTCTAAAGAAAGATTAGTGGTGTTTTAGGGTTGTAGATAAATCCTTATGATTGACCAAGGTAAGGGGAAACTTACTTTTGTTTGTTTATAGTTGTATGTTATGTGTTCTTGATTATCTTGATTGGTAATCATTGTTTTGATACATGCGTATATGATTATGATTATTTGTGGTTGTTGTTGGGTAAGAGTTTACGTATGAATTGACATAAGATTTATGTAATATTTATCATGAGTTTTCCCTATGAATGTATTATTTATGTTTTGTTGGGTTATCCCAACAAAGGGTTTGATGCTAAGGGAGAACAAAGTTATTATGCTTGGGGGTTTCTATGCAAATATATGTTGTAACTGTTGGGTTATTGGGCTCCATTCCTATGTGGAGAATAGGCCAAATAGTGTGGACCATTATGTCTCACCTTGTTTTAGTGGAGATGAGTCAAATTAGTAAGACACATTAGAGTCGTTTGAACATAAGGAAAATCCAAATGAGAGAGAAAGAAAGAAAATAAGTCATTCTCACATAACATAAAATCTACACTAGTGTTTTCGTTATTGTGAAGTCGTTCACCGTTGGATCGGGCTGATATTTGGACAATGAGGTTCAAACATATGGTTATTCTTTTTGACTGTTCGATCATCAATATGAGGTCTAGTTTGGGAGAAAATAGTTTCGCATCAACAACTCTGTTTTTGGAGAATTTCATAAAATCTGGACTGGTGTTTTAGTCGTTGTGAAGTTATTCACCATTAGATTGGGCTGAATTTTGGACAGTGGGTTCCAGATGTATGGTTCTTCATTCTGATCGTTGGGATCACCAATCAGAGGTCTAGTTTGGGAGAAAACAGTCTCACATCATCAGCTCTATTTTGGAGAATTTTCTTCTTCTTGGTTCTCATTTGTAAGCATTATGTTTAGTTAGTTTGACTGATTGAAAATCCTATTGGTGTTTTTATCGAAGACTCTTTTGCATCCCATTATTGGAGGTATAACATGTCAATGATTGAATCTGGATGATTCAAGTGATGTATCATATGTGTTTCAGTATGTTTACATGAGTATGTGATGCATGAATGCATGTATACGTGTTAATTATGTTTCCATGTGATCTAGGGTTGATGTATAATGCTTGGATTATATCAAGAATGTATTTCGATTCGACAGTAATTAATTATCATTAGTTATAATGGATTATCATTAATTATAATAAATTATCTGCAAGTTGGTTTTAAGTGTGATTTTGAAATAATAAAATATCTAGGATTATTTTGTGATTAAATTATGTTTAAAATTTATATTTTAAAACTGATTAAATATCTTATTACTTAAATTATTTTTTAATTTTATTATTTATTGTAATATTCATATTAAATGCATGTTACCATATCCAATTATAAAAGATACATTATTTATAGAGATAATCGCCAAATAAAATATAAAGTGACTTACTGTGTTTTTAAAAGTTAAAATTAGTTTTGGGTTATATTTTTAATCTTTAGAACGTATTTAGGGAGTTTAAATTTTGTGAAGTTTTTTTTCTTTCTCTTTAAACTCTTGATAATGAATGTTATAGACTAATTTAAACTTTAATTTACAAATTAGTTATAAATTTTTAGTAATAATATAAACTATTTTAGATACTAATAATTTTAGTTTATAAAATATAATTGAACTCAGTTAATATAATAATATAATAAATAAGTATTTTTTATTTTTAAATTAATTGTAATTTAATGATTTTTTTAAATGAAACAAATTATAATTTTAAAAAATAATATATAATATAAAAAGAGAAAAAGGAAAAATGACTTTGTATAACGTTTAGTATCTGAAGAGGTTTCTTGGAAATACAACCAAATGAGCTTAAGACTGAATACAAAGAAGAACAATTAATGATGAATACTAGTCTTCATCCAGACAGAAATAAAGAGTTGACTGACATCCCTAAAAATAAAAGACAAGAAATCATATTGTAACTAATTAATAAGAATATTTTTAACTTAAAATTCTAATATATATTATTATATTATTAATGAGATTATTAATTGGATATATATATTTTTTAAGAGTGCTGAAGTATTACTTTTTTTTAAGATGATGATGATGAATGTTTATCTTGATATTATGTCGTAAAATAAAATCACATATATTGTTAGAGTTAATTATTTTTTTATTCGATAATATTCATAATATTACGATAGCAACTATTCTGGAGGTGACTTTTCAACTTTCTTTTTTCTCTAATTAGTTTCTTTGATATTTCATTCCTAAACCAGTTCAACTCATACTTGTCATTGTCTCTTCATACATATCTAGATAGTGACTTATATCTGTTTCTGCCATGTTGCTTCTTCTCATACCATAAATTCTAAGCCTTAAGTGATCGTTTACTCAGGAAATTATCAGCAAGAACAATTATGAGTAACCACTGTTTCTTCTTCTTCTTTATTGCTTCCTTTTGCTTTGCCTCCTTTGCTTCTGGAGCCACTCTGGCTCAGGATGAAGGTACGTTAATAGCTGCAGCAGTTAGCTAAAATCACTATCGCTGTAAAACCTTAGTTTATGTCTTGTTAAGCACCAACACGATCAACAGTAACAATATCATGTTTTTATCAACTTTATTTTGAGCTCTTGGATATATGATATTAATTTTTCTTTGAAACTTGTATCAAAATCAGTTGAAAATCTCGTATCGGTCAGAGATAAAACTAATTTATAATATGTGAGTGAACGTAAATTTTATTTTTCAAACTGATTTTATAATATTGAGTTAGATTTAAAATTTACTTCAAAATTTAATATCAAAATCAGTTAAAACCTATCCGTGGATATATTCTTGAGGTGAAATTATAATTCAAATTCAAAGCGGCTAAAATTCTGATTATTAATTGTGAAAACTGATTTAATAACTAGCTAAAAACATATGCAGAAAGAGTATGATTTGAAGATTGAGAATTTTATATTTTAAAAATGTACATAATGATTTCGTATCTCAATTATTAGTTTTATATTTGTTAAATAGTTTCGCTTAATGAGTTGTAAAATATAAGAAATAATATAAATGGGTGTTTGATGATTTTGTGATGACAGTGGAAGCTCTGGAAGATATAGGTAAGACAGTTGGGAAGGTTTGGGATTTCAGCGTAGATCCATGCACTGGAGAAAGAAATTGGTCAACGAATGATAAAAATAATGTCACATGCAACTGTGACGGTCCCAACGGAACCGTCTGCCATGTCACCCGCATGTAAATCGTTAACTTTTTCTCTATTTTATTATCACAGTTTATAAGTAAATGAAATCAATTAGGTTCTCTTTACAGAATATAGCTCAAGTTTAAAAAATAAAGGTTATTCAAAATTTATTTTTGGGTTGGATAGGTTGAGGAATAGCTCAAAACAAATATACTATTAGAAGCCTTTACCATATAAATGACAAAACGACAACAGTGAATTCACAGATGAAAAATGAAACTATTAAAAGGTTAATAAAGAATTTTTTTTAAGAAAAATAATGTTAGAAGTTTCTCATTAGAGGTAAAATCAATTTACTCAGTAAACTTTACTCTACAAAATTTGTTTTATAAGATTGAGTTAAATTTAAGTCTATTTATTAACATAGTATGAGAGTAATAAATAGAACGTATTCTAGCAAAATTTATTATTTGTTGGATTTATTGTTTTCATTCGCTATCAAATCGTTATTAGATTATCCGTTAATATCTAGACCTAGGTGCAAGATGTATATCCCTCGTGAGATGGAGTGTATTGAAAGTCTCACATTGACTATATATAATGTTAATTTAGAGTATATAAGTGGATGCAAATTTTATGAACTAATCCTACAAATATCCATCTTGTTTTAGCACAAATCTTTTTTGGTAAGAATCACTACTTGCCACTAAGCCTATTATAGGCTTGATCCTGAATCGGTTGGATCAAATCCAAGAAATGAAAGAACTTGTTACCTGATAGAACCTTCATAAGCATATCAAAGAGATTATGATATGTTTTTGTCTTTATCAAATTCACATACCCTTGAGAAATATCCTTTTTACAAAACATAATTTGATATCCACATGTTAAGTTTTTTCATTGTAGATTAATTCTTGGATTATTATATAGATTGTTGTTAGGGGTGTCAAAATGGGTTGGTAGACAACCCGACATAAAATGGTGAATCAGGTCACATATTTGAACATGTAAGCTCGGAGGAGCTTAATATGCCAACCAGGTCAAAACATGGGCCGACCTACCAACAACCTGCTGTTCGTTTAATATTTTTTTTTTGTTTTTTTTTGCTTCATCATTCTCACCCACCCACACCACAACATAGAGAGAAGAGAGAGTTGCCTTCCATGCTGAGGAAACATAACCCTTCTTCACACATACCTTTCTTCCGACTTTGACTTCACTCCTTAATGGTGAAGCTCACCTACATCAACAAATCTCACTTACAAAGGCATATATCAATGACCACGATGAAGACTAACCAAAACGGTGACACATAGGATCATTTCTCTTATTAGATTTTATTCCTCTTCTTCAATTTCGTTTATCCATTTCATTTCATTTGCCCTAATTTATGGCTACTAATCTTTTTCTTCCTACTACGATGCGAGGCACCACAATATGATTCACCTTAATTTTGTTTTTATTTTCAATTCATTATGTAGACACTATGATTCTAATCAAGAATCTAATGTTGGAATGGGAGAAATGTTGCAAGCCAAAGCTAAAATAACTAGCTCATTTTTCTCCCACTATAGTACTACTATAAATTGTGACTTCCCAAATTCATTAGCTTTTGTATAAACTATGCCACCCAAATTCAACTTAGCAGGCCCATTTAACAATTAGGAAACATACATTATGATAAAACTAGCAGAAGGCCCATTTAACAAAATAAAAAAGGGGAAATGTGTGTCAAGTGAGCCAGCCCACACAATTTGCCCATTGGTGGGATAGGTTCAAGCTCCCAACCCATTTTCATATATTGGGCTAGCTCAACCTAACCCAATTTTAGCAGGCCAGAAATGGGGTAGACATGAATGAGTCGGGTTGGCCCGTTTTGAAACCCCAAATTGTAATTGTATCTTCAAATCTCTACCTAAACTCTCTTGGCCATAAGGTTTCCTTCCTTCTTAGCAATATACTTTGTTTTAATGGTCATTAAAATAAAATCGCATATTACTAATGGAAAGAATTTATCAATAATCGTGAAAATTCATAAAAAATTTAATTTTACTAAAAAATTACTGATATTAAAAAATATGTAAATAAAATGGTCATTGAGAAGTTTTACTAATGGGTCACAAAATTTTTTGGTAATAACCAATGATCTCAAATTTGCCTCGATGAATTTTTATTGTTAATAAAATTCGTCATCTCAATTCAATCATCTTCTTCCTCGTTCCTTTCCTCTTCTTTTTTTCATTTCTTCTTTTACTTCTTCTTTTTCTTCTTTCGTCCTCTTCTATATCCTCCGCCTAGTCTGTCACAACTACCTTCAGCTCCTCCTCGTATTCTTTTTCCTCTTCCACTTCCTCCTCCTCCTAGTCCTCCAACTTCGACAATCACCGTTGATGAGTCATTGTCGCGCCACCACCATTGTCATCATTGTGCATTCTCCTTTCCTTTTCCTCCTCCTTCCTTCCTTTTTCCTCTACCATAGCCCAAGTCAACACTGTCTTTTACCGGAGCATCTTTAGAATGTGTTAGTCACTTTCACATTGGTATACTTTAGCTTGAGTGGAGGCATTTTTAGCACGAATAAGTCATGAACAAACTCATACAAGAAAATTTGTCTTATCTCCAATCTAAAACTTTTAAATAATGAGTTTATATATATTTTTTTATATATAAGTCAATTTTGTCAGATTTATTTAGTGTGGTAATATGGCTTACATTTTAATTCCTGACATCACCTCATTTTGTATCTTTTCATAAGCACTAGATAAAGATTTTTAACTCACTACTATTACATTGTAGCATGAACTGGTCACCTTATTTTAACTTATTTCTCACAATATAATCCTCCTTCGATAAAGAAATTTATGAGGGTCGAAAGGTGTTTTCTCGATCAAGACCATCTTCTCCCCATGTTTTGGAGAGTTTTTGTGATTGAGTTTCCTTTATTGTTTATCATCCTCTGTTAATCTATCAAATTTGCTTGAGACTATTTATGGGCCACACAGGTTGTTTCTTTCTAATTCAATTGGGGGTGTTACTCCCTCCACCCCCACACGTCTCTTCCTCCACCTCCCCAATTTTCTAAAATGCCAATTATATCCTTCTAAAATGACAATTATATCCTCAAAAGTTAAAATTTTTTATTTTTATTATTTTAATATTTTAATTTATTTAAAACTTCTGATTTACTTCCCTCTGCACCTCTTCCTCTCTTCCATTTTCGTTTACCTTTCTCTCTTCCGTTAAGCTTCTTCTCCACCTATAACAAATTCATATTTTAACAAATTCATATTTTAACAAAATTATTACGTTTAAAAACTAACCATATATAACATTTAAAATTATAAATTTAAATATAAATTACTGTAAATAAAATAAACAAATAAAATAAAAACGAAACGTAAAAGGAACACTGCCTCTGGACGGATGACATCCTTCAACGGATGTCAACATCCGTTGAAGGCAAAACGGATGTCGACATCCGTTTTGCCTTAAACGGATGTCGACATCCGTTTAACCTTAACATCCGTCCATAGGCAGTGTTCCTTTTACGTTTCGTTTTTATTTTACTACGTTTTGCGGCTCATGCAAGGATTATAGGCTTGGATATTAAAAGGATTATTGGAAGTATGGGAAGGATTTAGGATTTAGGATTATTGGAAGGATTATGACTACGTACCTGGAGAGGAACCACGACAAGGACACTACACCATAAACGCACTGCACCACGTACTGCACCGAGAACAAGAAGAAGATTGTTTGATAATTCTTTTCACGATCACCAAGCTTTGTAGAAAAATATTTTACTCATACAAGAAACTACGTAGGTTATCAGTGAAATATGTTATAAATGAATAAAATTAAAAAACAACAATTTTAAAAATAAAATTTTACTGAGGGGCAAAATAGTAAAGGAAAGGTGGAGGAAGGGGCAAAATAGTAAAGGGGAGGTGGAGGAAGAGATGTGTGGGGGTGGAGGGAGCAACACCCTTCAATTGGTTCATGACATAAATATATTCGGTTCAAATGTTTTCTATTTTGTACTGGCAATTACTTTGTGCACTCGGTGATTTTTTCTTGCATCACCACAAAGGTGTTTACAACTTCTAAAATGCCTATGTTTGGATTGGATTGTGCAATTGCAAAATATTCTCTGTTACACAATGTAATTTTGGATCTAAAATTTGCATAATTTAAAAATATATTTCGAATTACACATTCCAATATGTAGTTTTGGATTTTTAAAATACGTAATCTAGAAATGTATTCTAGTTGACATAACCTAAAATACATTTTCATATTTATGGAATTCATACATAAATGTATTTTATAATACGTAATCTATAATACATTTCTCAATTTCCAAATTGCGTAACCTAGAAGAAATGCATTCCAGATTACATTTTATCTAAATTTTCAAATTTCTTAAGTTGAAAATGTATTCTAAACTATGTAATTTGAAATATATTTCTAAATATCTAAATTATAAACCCAAAATATTTTTTTGAATTGCGTGGGAAAAAGAGATGAAAATGCTAAAAGTATACTCTTTTTCTTTTCAATCCATTTTCCCCTGGTAGCCATCCTTCTTTATGAGGTGTTTCAACCTCCATCTCAAACTCCAACATTTCATCCTAAACTTTCAATCTTTTTAAAAATTTCTCTTTTAACCTTAATAAATATTTTTTTATTTTTTTCTCTTTCTTATTAAAATCACCCTGCACTTCTTCCTAATTTAATATTTTATTATAATTTAATATATTTAAATATATTAAATCAAATTTATATTATTATTTTTATTTTTATTTTATTATTTTTATTTTTCTATTTTAATTATTATTAATTTTAGTTTAATTATTTTTATTTTTATTTTTTTTAATATAACTACTATACTTACATAAATTATATTTTAATAAATATTAAAACATGAAAATATATTAAATAATATAAGATTTTTAAATTAAATTAAATAATTATTAAATTATAAATAAAAAATTAAATTTTAAAAACATTAGTCGATGAAATCCGTTAAACTGATATCAAGAGCAAATTTTTTTAAAATTTCGTTTTTTGTTTAAAATTTATTAATTATTTAATTTAATTTAACATTTTAATATAATTTAATATATTTAAATATATTAAATCAGTTATATTATGATTTTCTTTTTATTTTTTCATTTTCATTATTACTACTTTTATTTTAATTAGTTTTAATTTTAATTTTTTAATATAACTATTATAATAATATAAATTATATTTTGATAATTATTAAAATCTAAAAATATATTAAATAATATTAGATTTTTAAATTAAATTAAATTATTATTAAATTTTAAAAAAAAATTAAAAACATTTATTAGTCGGATATCTATGTTAACGGATTTCAATACCTGAGCAAATGTTTTTAAAATTTTCTTTTTTATTTAAAATTTAATAATTATTTAATTTAATATTTTAATATAATTTAATATATTTAAATATATTAAATTATATTTTATAATATTATTTTTCTTTTCATTTTTATTATTATTTTGTATTTTAATTTTAACCGTAAATAAAAAAAACAATAAATATAATTAATTAAAAAAAGGACGAAACCAATTTATATGTCCAAGTTCAATGTTGATTTTTCGAGAATAGCATAAATTTATTTGTTTAGCAAATTTGTGACATGAAACAGTGACAGAAATGTGAATCTATACGAAAATAAACTATAGATAATACTTAATTATGTCTTTCTTAATTACCAAAAACATTAGTTCGTGAACATTAAATTGAGTAACAAGGTTGAAAGTTAAGACTACGGCATTCCTTAAACTCTAAAAACTGTCGTGAATATTTTTATGTTTTACTATAATTATAAGATAAATCATTGTTATTTGTGCAACTTTTAAGTATAAACTATAAAAATATTGATTACTCTTTTTAAATTTGATTTGTTTTGAGCCAAAATCTTTAATATAGAGTTTAGATAGTTAAACATATATTTATTTTTTTATGTAATTGACTTATTACATATAAATTACTTTGTGGTTTAAAACATGCAGAATTTTGAAAGAACAAAATCTTCCGGGTACGCTCCCGCGGAATCTATTCAAGTTGCCTTACCTTCAAGAACTGTATGTAATTTTTAAACTTACTCACATTCAATCACAAATTATATATATATTTCCTTTTTTTCCCTTGTCAAGACACATTCTTTGTTGCAGTGATCTTTCTCGCAACTACCTTAATGGCACAATTCCTAAAGAATGGGGTTCCACAAAACTTGTCACCATGTAAGATTTTCCTGTCATTCTTTATTTTGAGTTTTAAATCATCAATTTCTACAACACTTTATTCACATAATAGGAAATCTTTATATAGTTTGAATTTCAAGAACACCGTCGGTTACTAAGAATAAGTTAATGACATTTTTGTTTTCTTAATGGTACAGTTCCCTCCTTGCAAATCGATTGACAGGTGAAATACCAACCGAGATAACAAATATATCCACTCTTTTAGATTTGTGAGTTTCACTTTCCAGAACTCAAAAAAAAAGTGATTGATGCATTTATTATTATGCAATTATTTAGACTAAAAAATCACAACATTAATTATGAAGCAAAATTTAAAACGTGTATTAAACTTAAAGAGCCTGGAATGGAACTTAATTAACTTTAGCATGAAATGAGCAGGAACTTGGAAGCCAATCAATTTTCTGGAATTCTTCCTCTTGAGCTTGGTAATTTAACCCAAATTCTAAGATTGTAAGCACTTTATTCTTTTTCCATTTACACCTCTTTTGTTAATTAATACCTTTCCTAGAATTTTCATTCTATGAAACTTGATCTAAGTTCTTATCTCTTAATTGTGTCTCCTTTGCCTTAAGTTCATTTTTTCAGATTGTTTAAGGATGCTGAATGAGCATTATTAAGTACTTATAAGACTTTGGACAATCCTTCTTTTCTATGTTAAGTTTTGTAAATGAAATAAATGTTAGAAATTCAAACGTGAATTTAAGTTCTATATTAGATAAAAATAAAAAAGTAAAACATTATACAAAGATGAAATAGTTATTAAATCGTTATTTTAAGTTTTTGGTAGAAATTGATGTCGATCTTTTATATGGTTAAACTCGGTATTTGTATTTTTCTTTAACCACCTTCTCGGTAGAACCAATACTAAATTCTATTTGAAACTAGTATAATTTCTATGGCTTGGATATTTTTATTTTTTCTAATTTATTGTTGACATCAATTATATACAGGTTACTTAACTCCAATAATTTTACTGGAGAACTACCAATCTCACTGGCCAGACTTTCTAAATTACTAGATTTGTAAGCTTTATATATTTTGTTATGGAGTGATGACTAATTTAAAGAATATTGCTTTTAAACTAAAAGTCTCATTGTGCAGTCGAATAGGGGACAATCAATTTTCTGGGAAGATACCTGACTTTATTCATCAAAATATGAAAAATCTATCGACATTGTATGAACTCTACATTTTATCTCTATTTATTTGAATTTGCTTGTCTTGTTTCTTGTTTCTTGAAGTCACCAATGATTTGTATAATTTGGCAGGAGGATTGAAGGGAGTGGATTAAGTGGGCCAATTCCTTCTGAAATTTCACAACTGCAAAACTTAACTGACTTGTATGTATGAATTTGCCATTTTTATGCAGTAAGCAAGGTTTCAAAATTCAACTTTCATTTAATTTGTCTTGACTTTGCCAATACTCTAATGTGATATATGCAGGAGAATTAGTGATCTAAGAGGATCTGAAACTTCAACTTTTCCTCCTCTTGATAAAATGAACTTACAGTATTTGTGAGTTTATTGCTTTGACTCTTCTGTTTGATTAATATATATCTGGACAAACCAAGCAAGAGATACTAATAAAATGATGTTATCTATATGTTGATGTAGGATTCTGAGAAATTGTAACATCATTGGAGATTTACCCGAATTTCTTGGAACAATGACAAGTTTAAAGGACAACTTGTAACTGCATACTTTCCATTTTGTTTAACTAATGATAAAATTTTATTACATATTATTTAGATTCTTTTATAACCTTTAATTTTATTGCATTGCATATGCTTAAAGCTTTGATGTTCAAACTCTAATATTTCTCTCTAACCTATTTGGTTGTAGGAAATTTACTACTACTAACTCAAGTTCAAAATGTTTTCTTTTTCAGAGACCTCAGCTTTAACAAGTTCACTGGACCAATTCCGGATGCCTATGAGACCAGAGCAAGAAAAGTGAAAAACGTGTATGAATTTTTCAGACCATTCTTAATTTGAGATATATTAACCTTCAAACACAAATCTATTGATTTTGAGCACTATTTTCTACATTTGTCCTAAAGTGGGATAGATAAAGGCTTAAATAGCACAAACAAGCGTTTTATTGGAAAACATTTTGAAATTAATGTATAGGTATGCAAAATATAGAATATACTAGTTATTTATTAAAGAATCTGAATTATTCATTTGAGATTAAATCAATTAACAATTAATTTTTTGTAATTAAACTAATCAAATTTATGTAATTAGGCTATTAAATCTTCTGTAATTATGTTGTCTATGATTACATACCTAATTTATATCATAGTATATATATATATATATCCAATGCATAATGAAACACATATTTAAATTATCTTTCTCTCTTAGATAAGTCTCTCTCTAATTCAAACCTCGTCTTTTTGCGTTTGATGTTGTGCTCTTCTCTTTTTTGCACCGTCTCATGCTTCAATACTCTCTCTTGTGTTGTTGTCGCTCCCAATCGTCGTCGTGCCTTTCCTCCACCAACGTGCTTTCTCACCCTTACTCCCTTCCTTCTTGTTTCTGAATGATTACTTTGATTTTCCGTGGACATTTCCCTTAGGTACTAAATCTTAAGTTTTTGAAATCTCATTAATCAAATTCAAACACAATTTTGGCAAAAAGTTAAATGTTTTCAATGTGATAATGATGGCAAGCACGATAATGCGTTGTTTCATCAATTTTGTGATGATAATGATCTTCTTTTCTAGTTCTCTTGCCCTATACTTCTTCTTAAAATCACAAAACATAAAATATGAACCATTAACAACATGATTCACACTCTCCTCACTGATTCGTTCGTTCCTCATTTCTTTTGACATCACGCCCTTCAAATGACCACTTATCTTTTTAATATACTTCCTCAGAAAGTCTTATCGTTGTTGTCATTTGTCTTTGTTATCCTCTTAACACAAAGGTTATAAATGTTTTGATTTGTTCCATAGAAAGGTAATAATATCATGACCTATCATTTTTTATGAAACACAATTTTTTTTCGTCCATATGCTTTCCTCCCCTATTTCTACTTATGACAATTTTATTGATGATATACATCCCTCCCTTGTTCACCCCTGGCCCAATCCTAATCGAAGCCTTTGCTTAACCATATGCTGCAAGATTACCCTCCCTTTCATCCAGTACATCAACCTCCACGACCAGTTTATCCCTGCCCCTAAACCCTAGTCCTTCATCACAACTCGATCCTTCTACTAGGATCATGGTCACCCATAGCATGACTAATGTCTACAAACCTAGAAAACTCTTTAACTTTCTGTTTCCATTGTCCACTCGACAATATCATTTCTTTGTAAAAATCCCACCCTTGCTTTATTGGATCCCAATTGAAAATCTACCATGCATTATGAATTTTATGCTCTAATTGAAAATAATATGTAGGATTTGGTTCAAGAACATTGTGATATTAATATCATTCGCGGTATTTAGGTTATTCATGTTCTACCTCTTGTAACATTAATTTTTTTTCAAAAGAATTGTTGACTTTTATTATGTTCTTTGATTGTAGTTATTTATCCGGAAATCTTCTGAATGGAACCGTGCCTTCATGGATAGAGCATGCAAAGCCAATGTGAGTTCTTTTTCCATCAAGAGATTTCCTAATTTAGCTATACTCATTCTTTATGAAACATAAAAATAAATAGAAACATATTATTTGTTCTTGTTCTCTAATTAATTTTGTATAGTCTTATTTCATTATCCTTTTTATTATTCTATCATATTCCACATTATTATTTATGAAATGTGTTATTTTAATTTTGTTATATAGTTTATGCTCTTTGTCCATGGATTTTAAGTAGTGACCATGTTGTTGGCCTAGTAAACATAAAATATATACACCAATATGGATAAAATATATCATCAAGCATCCTAGAATGACTTGATCCTGAGCTTGTTAATCCTCATAGCTAGGGTTGATTTTTGTTATTGTATTCTTTGCAATAATAAATTGGTCTAGACATTTTATTTTTCCTAAAATATAGCCATCAAGTTTACATCCTCTAATAACTAGTAAGACTAGAGATTTCCACAGTGGATAATTGTCTATGTCCAACTTGACAAAGATTGTAAAAGGTAGACCATTTTTTTATTGGGAACAAATGACATGATGGTTGTGGTTAGAAAATTGTATTGAATGTAATAATTTGCATTAATCATACATTGTTTAAATACAAGTAGTAATGTACAATCAAGATCCTATAATTATGGTAATACAGACAAATAGTTTCCTAAATAGGATGATGATGAATATATAATTACAATAATTATTGCAATATTATGCCTTAAAAAAATTAGTGAATCGTCAAAATCAAGAATCATAAATAATAAGATATTTGACAAAATATTTTGTCTAAGTCTTTATGTGGAGTTTACTTTTGATATCATATCTCTAATCCTAAGGTTAAGATTAAGAGATAAATTATCCTTGTTTTTTTTAAAAATTTAGTTTACTCTAGTTAATGAATGAATTTCCAACTTCACATAGAGATAAACATTTTTTAATGTTATTGTCTTGGAGTTTGAATGTGCATTCTAATTCTTGGATTGTTGGTGGTAATTTTCTCATATTTCTAGTGGTTGGTTATTAGAGTCTGAATCAAATTTCATAACTTTTGCGCAGAGATATTTCATATAACAACTTAAACATCACAAGCCAAGAGAGTGCGACTTGTAATCAAGTAGGAAGGTAAGAATCCATATAATTGTGAGCATTTACATTTGAATATAAGGACCTGAATCATAATCTTTCTATTCATGTATAGGAACTTATTTGCTAACTCCATCACGAATGGCTCGTAAGTTAGCATTTTTCTACATTAAATTTTTTCATTTCCCTTGTGCTAGTGATATTATATTGATCTTAATATGTTAATGACATTATTTCCCTTCATCATTGTCTTAGAGGAGAAGATGCTTGCTTGGAAGGTTATACATGTTCACAACGTAAGTTTCCTTCTGGAGAATTTTCAACTGAATGCTTTTACATTTTAATTTAAGCTTTCCTTTAAACCTTTTAATTTTATGTTTTCTTAAGTATCTTTTTGAAAGTATTTATAAAGATGCATATCGAGATGGATGGGTTAACATTTATCCTAGTTTTTTCTCTTTCCATATTGGTACTCGTTTATCTTGTTTTGTTTAATATAGTAAGAACTTTTATTTTTGATGGTATGAAATAACTGGAATAAGACTTTTATTATTATTAACCATATATTAAGGAGAGAAATATATAAAAACATATCATTAAATTAAAGGTATCATTTACCAAAAAGAAAAAGTTATATTAACGGTCAATATGGGAAGAGAATTTGTTATTATAGCTATACACAATCCTATAGACTTTTCATTCATTATTTTATAATCACTTCAATATTTTATAAAGATTTTCCTCATCCTTGCCTAACATACATATACACTCATCCAACGAATGTATGGTCTTATCTTATGAGTGTATCATCTAACTAATTCATACCTCATTTATTGAATGAACCATCCATGCATGAGCTCTCTAGATTTTTTTTAAATTATATTTTCTCAACAATAATACTACGTGTCCAACGATCTAAATTCTTGGGAGCCACATCCATTAGACTCATCCAACTAGTTGGACTCGTCATTGTATTGTTTAAAGCTTTATCTAAAAATTTTAAATTGTCACTCTCACTTGGTGGCTCATCTAACGAGTATATTGTTTGACGAATATCACCTTCTTTACTTAGAAACTAATTGACATATTAGTTTTGTATTGGCTTCTATTTATGTTTTTATTTTCTTAACTGTTCAAAGGATATAATCTATTTCAAATAGTTTAACTTAAGTCAATTAATTCCAAACTAACAATCTTATTGTAGGAAGCTCTCTCTAAACATTTATAGAAATCCTTTAATTACATTTTTTTTATGCTTTGGGTCTATTTAGGTTTTTCTATTTATTCTTTAAAATAAAATTGTTGAGAATTCAAGTGAGTCAAAATCTCACATTGGATAGAAATAAGAAAGTAGAGCATTATATAAAGAAGATGAAAGACCTATTAACCAATTGTCTTAAGTTTTCGGATAAAGAGTGATGTCAATCCCTTATATGATTAGACTCAGATCTCATTTAAACCCAAAAGAGTCACATGCAAACAAATTTCCCAATATGCAAAAATGCCACCAAATTGACTCAAGAAAAGATAGAATATGAGGTTACTTTGATTCATATTCTAATAAAGATAGGATGATCGTCCTTTACACCATAACTCCTATTATGCACTCCAATCTTCCACAGGTGGATAAAAGATATCCATAGAGGTTAACAAAGTTTCTATTTTCATAACCTAAAGTTGTAATATTCTTCAAAAAGATATATTTTGTTATCACTTTTCTTTAAATTGCTATACCTATAATTGAGTTAACATGAGTTCCTTTCATATTCATTTTCAATAAGAATGAAAACAGATTGTTGGACGAAAATAGATTACAAAATTACAATTTAAAGAAATATACTTTACTCATGTTGTTTTCTTGCTAGACTTTATATAAATTGATACTATTTTTTTTTCGTCCTATAGTGTTATACAATCTTCATATAAACTGTGGTGGAAAGGAGGTCTTAGTCAATAAAAGCACATATGATGATGATGTAGCTGATGGAGGTGACGTTAGATTTCTTTGGAATAGAAACAGAAATTGGGCAGTTAGCACTACTGGTAACTTTATGAATAATGACAACGAAGCGGGAAAGCATTTAGTCTCAAACAAATCTGTGCTTTCTATAGAGAATGTTGATCTATACATGACTGCACGAGCTTCTCCCATTTCATTGACTTATTATGGATTTTGCTTGGGAAATGGAAACTACACAATATTTCTGCATTTTGCTGAAATTGTGTTCACTGATGATCAAACATTTAGCAGCTTAGGAAGACGAGTGTTTGACATCTACATTCAGGTATAGTTAACACTTTCTTTTACCTTTAAAACGGAAGTGTCATCATAGGTTGTATTGAGAACATGTTGGATAGTTTTTATACACAAAATTGTTGAAAATCCAAGTGAGTCTAAGTATCACATTGGATAAAAATAAGAAAGTAGAACTCTATATAAAGATGAAAGACCCATTAATCCATTGTCTTAAGGTTTTGGGTAAAGAGTGATGTCAATCCCTTGCATGGTTAGGTTCAAATATCATTGATTGTGTCTCCCTGATGGTTATACATATTTTTACATTATAGTCACTACTTTAACTTAATTTATACAATCAATGGCCATTTGCTACAATATTTTCAACAAGACTTGAATATTTAAGGCTTGTAATCATCATAATTTAGATTTTCTTTTAATTAATTTGCTGCAGGGAGAACTAGTGAAGGAGGGCTTCAATATTGCAGAAGAAGCCGGAGGTAATGGTAAGGCAATCACAAAAACTTTTAGAGCTGTTGTGAGCAGTAATACCTTGAAGATACGACTGAATTGGGCTGGAAAAGGGACAACTGCACTCCCATATAAATCAGTATATGGTCCTCTTATATCAGCTATAACTGTGAACTCAGGTAGGTTGTTACTCTTTGTAAGTTCCATGTTGCATCATCTTAATATCATCTAAGATCTTGTATAATTATCATGCAGATAATCCACCTCCCATGCCCAGTAGCATATCAGTAGGCGTTGTGGTTGGAATTGTGGTTGCAGTGGTAGTCGTTATCATCCTTATGTTTGGTAGACTTTGGTGGAAATGCTGCTTAAGGAAGAAAAGTTCCTTAGAAATCGGTAACTATAAAAGATATATATTTCAATAATCTTATGATATCATTAACTATATATTGATAATTTTACATGAACGAAAGCAATGTGTAAAAGTACATAAAGAAAAAAAAAATAAAAGAAACAAATCATGATGACATTATATCAAAACTTATAATCAACTACCATTCTTTTATGTTTAATTTCTTCATTAAACAACAAAATTAACCATATTTACAAATATAGTTAACTACACGTACTTGAGTGGACTCATACAGAAAAGTTTCTCAAAGTATGCTGCTCTTTTGCTGAAAAAATGTTAATATATTTTCTTCTTAAGTGTGTTTGTATTGCTCATTTGAGGCAAATAATTCTCATAAATCAGAAAGTTGCAACGTGGATTATATATAATGTAAACATGAATTTTTTTAGCACAAGGGAGTCTGATATTTCTTTCTCTTTAATTAACAGAGCTAAGAGGTTTGGAACTACGAACAGGTGTATTCACTTTAAGACAGATAAAAGTGGCAACAAACAACTTCGCTGAGGAGAATAAGATTGGAGAAGGAGGATTTGGTCCTGTGTACAAGGTAATTTGTATATAATTTTGAATATTGATGTCTTAGAATCATTTCACAACATTCAAGACATATAACATTATCCTTGAAAATGCAGGGATGTCTATCTGATGGGACATTGATAGCAGTAAAACTACTCTCTTCTAAATCAAGACAAGGGAATCGAGAGTTCTTAAATGAGATAGGAATGATTTCTGCTTTGCAGCATCCTCATCTTGTTAAACTATATGGATGCTGTGTGGAGGGTGATCAACTCTTATTGGTATATGAATATATGGAAAACAATAGCCTTGCTCGTGCTTTATTTGGTAAATCTCTTTATTATATCATCAAATTGTACTTATCATTTAATTTATATATTAACTAATGAATATGACAATATGGTAGTGTGGTCTGATTTCTATGATTTTACCAATGAAGGACCTGAAGAACACCAAATAAGATTGGATTGGGCAACAAGATACAAGATATGTATTGGTATTGCTAGAGGTTTGGCATACCTCCATGAAGAATCAAGATTGAAGGTTGTTCATAGAGACATCAAGACCACTAATGTGTTGCTTGATAAAGATCTCAACCCAAAGATATCAGACTTTGGTTTGGCCAAACTGGATGAGGAAGAAAATACTCATATTAGCACCCGAATAGCTGGAACATAGTAAGCTCCTATGCCTTCTTTCTTACTTTCATAGAGAAATAATAGGAATCTTATTGAGATAAGTGACTTAGAAGAAAGAGAAAGGATTATTATGTCATACAACTGATAAACTTTTTCATTTTCATCTTATAGTGGATATATGGCTCCAGAATATGCCATGCATGGTTACTTGACCGATAAAGCGGATGTCTATAGCTTTGGAATTGTTGTGTTGGAAATTATAAATGGAAGGAACAATATCATTCATCGACAAAACGAAGAATCATTCTCAATTCTTGATTGGGTAGAGAAAACATATGTTTGAATAGTTGGTTGATTTGAACTTTGATTTATTTGGAATGAAAATTTTGTCTATACTGTTTTGTTTGTCAGGCACACATGTTGAAAACAAAAGGTGATCTAATGGAGCTAGTGGATAGGAGATTGGGGTCAGACTTGAAGAAAGAGGAGGTATTGGTGGCTATAAAAGTGGCTCTTTTATGCACTCAGGTGACTACAACACTTAGGCCAACAATGTCATCAGTAGTGAGCATATTGGAAGGTAAAAGTGTTGTTGATGAAGTGGTAACAGAAGCAAGTGAGGTGTTGGATGAGAAAAGAATGGAGGCAATGAGAAAATATTACAGTGAGCTAAGTATAGAAGTGCCATGGACTGCTTCATCTACATCTGCATCAGATCTTTATCCAACACATCTTGATTCATCTTTTTTGGACAAGAGAAATTATCTCTAAAGAAAAAATGTCAAAAATCACACTTTTTAAATTTGCAGTACCAACACAACATTTTAATATTTCCTTTTCTAGTTGTGAGTTTGTACACCAAGTTCTGGTTTTTCTTGTAAATTTCCTTGTAAAACCAGTTGTGATTCTATTGTCAGTGTCTTTTCACTTTAACTCAAATAATTTTAATTTGTGGCTACAACATAAATACTTTTAATAATAATAATAATAGTAATAATAATGTAAAATACATATAATTTATATTTTGCATGAAGTATTATTGGGAAAATTTACCATTCCACTTCTTAGGACAAACTTTTAAAATTTATTTGTAAGTGTTTTATAGTCATGAGTTTAATTATTTTACTGTAAGGAAGTCATCATGTAGAACAATTTCGTTTTTTCTTTTTGTAAAAGTTGTATTTTCCATTGTTTTTTGTACAATTTAGTTTATCATCTTATTGAAGCAGTGTATGGAGATTTTTTTTTTTTAATTTAGTAATTGATATGCATATGAAATCAATGGTTTTCTTTTATTATTTTATTAAGTTTGTGCATAGAAAACATGATTTCTTTGTATGTATTTTTTTTAACAATTTTAAGTAAGTAGTATTTTCTTTTAATAAATTGTGAAAGTTGCATACAGAAAGTACTACTTTTGTTTTCTTTTTTATTTTTTATGTTATTTTGTTATGGTTTTATATAGAATGATTTTTTTCAATAAGTTTAAATATTTATTTGTTTTACCATGTTAAAGAGTGGATTTTATTTAATTGCATCAAGTTTGTTAGAAGAAATAATGATAGTTGAATATTCATGCATTTGGCTGTAAAAAATAAAGTTGAAGATTAAATGACTCATTACTAGGTACATTAAATTTGTTTCATGGACTAGCTCTTCACATTATAACACATGTCATATATGCATTGTTAGTAATTTTTTTTATGTTATTCTATTGAGATTATAAAAATAGTTAATGTTTTAAATATTAGATTTAAATTTTGGATGGTCCTCATATTTATTTTGAAATCTCAATTTAGTCCTTCCGTTTAAAATGATTTCAATTAGTTCTTAAATTTTATAAATTAGTAACAATTAAATATTTACGTTAAGTGGTAACAAATGGTGTGTCATAACCTAGGTGACCATTGTCTCCTCCCTTTGTCGCCCTCGTGATCATCGTTGTGACTTGATTTCTCATCGTAGTTTTGGGTCAAGTTCTCATTGTTGTCTCTTTCGTTCGCGCTCCTGTCATTGTTGTCACTCTCATTTGTGCTCCCAGTATCACTCTCGCAATGCATAATTCAGTGAGTACGATGTCAGAACCGAAGTAGGACAGAGGCACAAACTTGTAGTGTTGGAGACCATATCTTCCATGTCATCGTTCAATGTCGTCATTCATGGTTACTACTATGTTTTCTGGTGAGGTCTGGCAGTTTTAGATCTGGATTGTTGTCATGTTTGCTTCATTGGTGCTTCTAGAACGAGTGGGCCGCGCAATGGTGCTCTCATGAGTAGCCTAGTTCATGCTTGGGTATACGACTAGCGCTACTTCTTCGATTGCGAGTTGTGAAGCTTGCAATATGCTTAGAGTTGGTGGTTAGTGGCAAACGGTAACACATGGTCGTATTAATGAACAACAGTGAGGTGTAGCTATGTCACATGTTGTAAGTGGATCTGCAAGGATTTTATTATAATGTTTGTTGAAAGAATACTTGTTTGAACAAGGAATGAATTGGGAAAAAATACTTGATTTAGAAGTGACTTTTATAAAAAGTACTCAATAAATTAACCAAAATTAAGTTGTTGAAAGAATATTTTTCTAATCTAGGAGTGACTTGCGATTTGGGATGACAAAAAATTTGTGTCACAAATATTTGTGGATAAAATCTGCAATGAATAGTTGGTATCCGTGAATATTTACTATCCACGTGTTGTAGAAATTTTAATATCCGCTTATAAACGGTTCGGGTACAAATATTATACTACCCGATCGCGATACTTGTTAACCACAAAAAATAAAAATAATAATTTAATTTATATTTAATTTAATTTTATTTTATTTTGAATTAAATTAATTTATATTTTATTAGATGAAATTTAATTAAAATTTAGTTTATATTTTATTTTATTTATATTAAATTATATATATTATTTTGTAATTTTATTTTAAAAATAAACAAAATATACATTTTTTTATATTTGCGGTTATCCGCGAATTTTAAAACATATGTGGATTTTTTTGAAATAAATATCTGCGCGAATAATAGGTGAATTGTGGATGAAGTTTTTATTTTATGGATCGAGTTGTAGATAGATACTATCCATGCCTGACCCGATTAATTGTCATCTTACTTATAATTGTATGATGCTTTGTATTTTTTATTGTTGAACTTAAATATAAACATGTTGAATTTTGATTTAATGGCACTCTTGATTATATTATAAATTCCATATATTACGTCATTGCAATAATTATTTTCAAGTATATGAGGACTTTTCCAATATGTCTAAGACTAAATAAGTATTGTAAAAAAGGACCAATTTCATTAAAGCTTCTGAAAACGTTAGGTAAAAATAAATCTGTAGATAAATTATATGTAATTACGTATATTTGCTCATACATAATTACCTATACATAATTACGTATGAATTTACTTATAGATTTCTAAAATTTGTAGGTAATAGTTATCTATGAGTAATTTATCCAAGAATTTTTGTTGTTGTTTTGTTCATACGTAGGTAATTAAGTTTTTTTAAAACTCATATTTTTGTTTAACTCACTTTTTTTAAAACTCTCGTATTTTTCTTTAACTCACTTAAATTTAATTTTTAGAAGGGCAAAGTTTATTTGTATTAATATTTTTATATTACAATTTTATTTGAATTGTATTTTAAAATTATTACTTTTATCTAGTTTTAATTATATTTTAAAGACTAATTTCTAAATAATTTTATTTAGCATTTAAAAAAAAATATTTCCTAAGTTTAAAAAATATTCAAATATTTTACATGGATACCAAGTAAATAAAGAAATTTTTTTTATATGAAATAAGTAATTACTAAGTACTAATTTTATTCTCTACAATCATTCCCATAACATACTCGAATAAATGAGTTGGATTGGCTCAATTATAGTAATAAAACTCTCGTAATTGTTAGTGTCTTAAATGAACTTGTTTATCCAACCATTAACACTTAAAATTTAAATTAGATTATTGTAATATAAATTATTTTTATTGGTATAAAGAAGTGAATGGAACAGAGTTGTCTGTTACTCGATCAAGTCTTCATCAAAGCTACATTGTTGCAGCAATTTGTCTGAATGAATAACAGCATTTAAACACTGCAATCACGCTCTTATAGGTTTATTCCTCGTATCTTCTGTTTTTGATAAGATTGAGGAATTTATTAGTTACAATTAGGGAAAGAAGTTTCAGGAAATGATGTAGTGAATTTTAATAGAAAAGACAAGTAACTTTAGTTATTTTTACTCAATTTTAATTAATTACTTTTATATTTTTTATTATCAAAAATTAAAATTAATTATTTAAACATAAAAATTAACTAAGTAACTTTCCTAGAAAAAATCATTGAATCCGTTTCCAAATTTTGATGGAAACAATTGCCGCAGCCGACAAGAAAATATGGAAAATGAAAGTACTTTAAGAAAGAAAAGAAGAGAAGAAATTTAAAAAAGAAAAGAAGAGAAGAAAAATAAGGGGGACCCACACCTTTTAGGTTAGCAGGCAAAGAAGAATCAAAACCAGGGAAAACCAAAACCAGTGAACTTGCAAAACCTCAATCATGCATCGCACATTGTAACTTGTTCCAACTCTTTAAACCAGAAATATTTTATAACAATACTTGTTTTAGCAATGAAAAAACTTATACCACATTCATTCAAACTGTCAGAAACAGATTAATCAAATTTTACAATATGTATTTTAAAATTACAGAAGGAATTATTCGTGTAAATTGACAATGTAAAAATATATACACAAGCAAAATTCTAATAAAAATATTAAACTTTTGGAGAAAACAACTTGTGTCAGCTCGTGATAGCATACATTAATTTCACAACCGTGTTTTCTGCATAAACTGACAAATTCATGTCCTCTTTTTCATTTACAATATGGAAATTTGTACGAAAAAGTTGACAAAGCCAACTGTTTCATGCTGTCAACAACTACTTTAAGATTTATCTATAAAAGAACAGTGTTCAGTGGCTTCGATTCTTGTATATTTTTCAGTAATGTTTATCTCTTGTAATGTCTCGTGGAAACTAAAATCATTGCTATTTTATATCATTATATTCATTAAATTATACAAATGAACCACCACTTGTGAAGTTGACTTTGTCTTAATCAGCACAGACATACATCTTTCTGCAAACACCCTTTACATTTTTAACAACGTGTGAGATTGTCTGATTCAATTTCTCACCAAAATAGTTCAAGTCTTGGTCTGCGTTCCTGTTTGATCACTCAATATCTTTCTCTATCACGTTATTATATACACTGGTGGTGATATATGTTCCTGAATCCCTTCTCAAAAACTCCAAGGTTTAATAATACTGTTCATTCATCATATCAGAAAGAGTAGCCATGAGGGTGAGTTACCCTCGTTTCTTCTTATTCCTTCTGCTCCTTGCTGTGTTTTGCTTTGCCTCCTTAGCTTCTGGAGCCACTCTTCCACAAGATGAAGGTATGTGAATAGCTTTCACCACTCCTCATAGTGAATCTTTTTGTTTCTCTGTGTGAATGAAGTTCACAATCATGGACATGGTTTCATATAAGAAATTGGTATCAGATGAGTTACTGATGATTTTTTGATGACAGTGGAAGCTCTGAAAGATGTAGCTACTACACTTGGGAAGAAGGACTGGGATTTCAGCGTAGATCCTTGCAGTGGAGAACGTAATTGGACATCTGCAGTACAAGTAAAAGGGAGTGAAAATGAATTAAGATGCAATTGCTCTTATAACAATGACACCGTTTGTCATGTCACCAACATGTAAATCTCTTACTCATATTCTCTATGTTCTTCATAGGTTTTTTAGTCTGTGATAGGGTAATTGTGATCAATGTTCTTCATAGGTTCTTCATCACATTGCTTTTTAGAACCAGAAAAAAG